TTTTCATTTTACTAAAAATATTCCTTTAAGGGGCTGGCAAGTGGCGTGGTGGTTAAGGGTGCTGGGCTCCCCCATGGTCTCCTGCAGGACCTGGCAGCTCACTTCCTCACGTTCCCTTTCTCTCTCTGTTTCTCTCTGGTGAGCACATGTGCCCTATAACAAATTTAAAATAATAAGTTAACAATTATTGGAAAAAAAAAAAACATTGCTGAGTGTGTGCGTGTGCTCTGAACCCCGATGGGCCGGAGAAGCGGAGAAGGGGGACCGCGGGATGACAGCGCCCACTGGGTAGTGCTCCTTCTCGCTCTCTGGTGCACACACTCTGGCAGTCATAACCACCCGAGGATAATCAGAAAGTAGGGGAACAAAATAAATACACACCCACTCCCACTTCTGCCCCCCCAAGCCTGAAACACCACGTTGGACGTGGGTGTTTTCTTCTCCCAGTCCTCTCAGCACCCCACTTTCTGTGGACACTGTCGCTCCACCCATACGTATTTTTTATTTTCTTCTTTCCCCCAGCTCTTGCTGTATAGTCAGTACTTTGTAAAGGACTGTGATAATTATTTTTAAAATAATAATTATTTACTTAATTTTATTTATTTATTATTATTTTTTAAATTCACTATAGGGCATGTGCTCTCACCAGAGAGAAAGTGAGAAAGCACGCTGCCAGGTCTAGGACCTGAACCAGGGTTGGCCATGTGAGAGTCCAGCACCTTAACCACCAGGCCAGCAGAGTGGTTTTAATTCCCTTTTTTCAAATGAGGAAGAGTACACATGGAGGAGAAAGGGACAGACAGAGTCTTTTTGACAGGGTTCCATGTCATTAGCTGGGGCCACGGGGGTGCCAGCCTGTTTAGACTGGGCCAGGAGTTGAACCGGGGCCTCCCACGCGTTCTCAGCCACTATGCAGTGGCGTCCTCCCCTTCCACCACCACATGGGGCCTAATCCTTCTTTTTGAAAGCTTTACAAGTGCGTGTATTTGTGTGTTTCGTGAGCGAGAGGAGAGAAAGGAAGACGCGCGCTGCACAGGGTCTGCCACTCCACGAGGACCCAGTCCCCAGCCTGCCGGGTCGAGGGTGTCCCTGCATGTGCAGATCGATCAGAATCCAGACCATGAGTGTCTGGAGGGGACCGGAGGAGGGACAGGGACTTTCTTGTATCCAAGTTGAAACACTCTCAGTTCCCTCTGCCTGAGCATTAATTCGTCTGTTCATTCGAACCTTACGCGGAAGCTGCGCAGGGCATGGACGGCCAGCAGCTGTGGTCCCGGAGAGGGCGCGCGCCCAGCAGCAGAGGTGGGTGAGAGAAAGGCGGCAGATGGAACGAGAAGTGCCGGCACGGAGGGAGCAGAAAGGACGGGCACCCAGCATAGCCCAGGGTGGGGGTGCAACTGTCCCTGAGGGCCTCCAGGCGGAAGTGGCCCGGCCCAAGGGATAAGTTGGAATTAGCCAGTGAGATGGGAGGGGAGGCAAGGGTACCAGAGAGGCTGAGAGTGAGGGAGCGATGTGGGAAGTGGAGCCCTGGCCGGTGTATGGGTAAGGAATCTAGGCTGTCTGGTGGCAAGTAGGGAGCCGTGGAAGGTTCTAGGTGGGCAGGGCTGTGACTTGATCTGTGTGTTAGAAATGTCACTGTGACTGCACTAGGAGAGCGGGATGGGAGGTGAGGGCGGAAGTGGGGAAAGCTGTGAGGCTTGTACAGAGCTGAGACCAGCGCTGAGAGGGGATTGGACTAGGGCAGGGAGGGGGAGGGACCCTCGTTTCTCCAAACCCTGTGAAATCCTCACCAGCTTCAAAGTGCAGATTGAGGGGCCAGCTGGTGGCGTGGTGGTTGGGGTGGCTGGATCCCACATGGCTGAGTGAGCAGTTTGAATCCTGGACCTGGTGGCTTGAGAAACTCGCTGGGCACGTGTGCGTGCATGCCCCACGTCCAGAGAAGAGAATGGAGAAATGATGGTGGCGTGGCCATCCCCCAGGAGGGCATTCTCACTTCTGCCCCTCTCCAGCGAGCGCACACCCCATAGCAAAAAAGTAAAATAAAGCAAGTGTGGATTCCGCATCACTTCTTCCTGTGGACCCCGCCGGTCACACGCCTGGAGCCGGGCCGAGGGCCTGGCAGCCGGTCAGTGAGACCCCCAGTGAGACCCATCACCTGACCCTGAGTGCCCGCGCTCCTGCCTCCATCTGCGCCCCCTTGGGCTGCTAGCCATTTTCTGACATGTTTTAAGCATAAATTTATTGTTTTCATTATAAAAGCAACTGAACCAAATTACTGAGAATTTGGAAATCAGAGAAACAAAGACAAAAACACAAAGTCGGCCCCAGCCGCCCCCACACCCGCACTCCACCCCTCCGTGTGGGGATGGGAGGTGAGGGCGGAAGTGGGGAAAGCTGTGAGGCTTGTACAGAGCTGAGACCAGCGCTGAGAGGGGATTGGACTAGGGCAGGGAGGGGGAGGGACCCTCGTTTCTCCAAACCCTGTGAAATCCTCACCAGCTTCAAAGTGCAGATTGAGGGGCCAGCTGGTGGCGTGGTGGTTGGGGTGGCTGGATCCCACATGGCTGAGTGAGCAGTTTGAATCCTGGACCCGGTGGCTTGAGAAACTCGCTGGGCACGTGTGCGTGCATGCCCCATGTCCAGAGAAGAGAATGGAGAAATGATGGTGGCGTGGCCATCCCCCAGGAGGGCATTCTCACTTCTGCCCCTCTCCAGCGAGCGCACACCCCATAGCAAAAAAGTAAAATAAAGCAAGTGTGGATTCCGCATCACTTCTTCCTGTGGACCCCGCCGGTCACACGCCTGGAGCCGGGCCGAGGGCCTGGCAGCCCGTCAGTGAGACCCCCAGTGAGACCCATCACCTGACCCTGAGTGCCCGCGCTCCTGCCTCCATCTGCGCCCCCTTGGGCTGCTAGCCATTTTCTGACATGTTTTAAGCATAAATTTATTGTTTTCATTATAAAAGCAACTGAACCAAATTACTGAGAATTTGGAAATCAGAGAAACAAAGACAAAAACACAAAGTCGGCCCCAGCCGCCCCCACACCCGCACTCCACCCCGCCGGGTGCGGCTCCCTCCGCTCTGTCTGAGGCAGGCTTTTATTTCTGCCTCCTGTAATCACGGAGCGGCTGGAGTGGGGTCCTGCTCCCTGCGCTGGCTTTGCTGGAGCCAGCTCCCACGCCGCCCTGGGTCTGCGCTCATTTGTTTGCAGCTCTGGGATGGGGGCACACCACGCTTAATTGCACCTCCGGCCCCGCAGCGAGCCAGGCCACTTACCTTCCACGCTGGGCTGCCTGCCCTCTGTCTGTCCAGGTCTGAACCCCCAGCAGGCAGGGCCTGGTCTCTGGTGTCCTCTCTCACAGGACCCTGCCCCAGAGCCCCTTTGTGGCGCTTGCTGGACTGGCCTGGGGCCACTCTCCTGGGAATAATGGTTGTGAGTGCCCGACTCCGCTCCTGGCCCATGGTGAGGGACACTTGGCTTAGATGCTGTCATGGTGAATGAGCGAGCACCCGTCCCTGGGAAGAGTCAGGCGGGAGGGTGCAGGGAGGCGGACACCCGAGGCGGAGCTCAGCGGGCCCTGTGGTGCTGGTCCCGGTCTGGGTGGCGTCCTGCCTCCGTCACTTACTGGCTGTGTGACTTTGGGCAAGGGGGGTGGGGGGACTGTGAGCTGCGGTTTCTCCTGTGAAGTGCACCTCTCAGTCATTGGGAAGTCAGTGACGAGCCGCGACACAGCGCCAGGCGTGCGAAGAGACGGCAGCTGCCATTTTATCATTCCTGTTGTTATTCCCGTATACAAGGTGCTGTTGGGAACACAGAGGAAGTGACTGGCTGGGGGTTCAGGGAAGGCTCCGTAGAAGAGGGAACACTTGAGCTGGGTCTTGAAGGATGAGTAGAAGCTCACCAAGTGGGAAAGGACATTCTAGGTAAGGAGCCTGTGACTTGGGCTGCGATCTGTCGATGAGGGCTGTGTTCTCTGGGGGCTAAGACCTCGTGTCACCCCAGCTTCCCCAAGGGCCCCTCTGGGTCTGCCCTGGGCGAGGTGTGTGCTCGCCCTCGGAGCACCCTCCTGTGTCCTGGTGGCTAGGTTCCTGCTCACGGCAGGGGCCCGTTTCTGTCTTGTTGGGGGCCAGGTCTGCGTGTCACATGTGTCTGTCTGGTGCTGTCTGTCTGCATGTCTCTGTGGCCGTGTTTGTGTGTCAGTGTCCAGGCTGCACTGGGGGTGGGCACCTGCATGCCTCCTCGGCCTCCTGCTCTAACCCAACAGCCAGTCTCCTCCCTGGCCCAGGTGGAGCCCTGCCTCTCACCAGCGGTCTCCAGGGCCTCCTAACGCGTGTCCTGTGGGGTTCTCTCCTGGCCCTTCCAGGCTCTTCCACACTTAACAGTCAGATGGGGCCCTCTAAATGGTGAACACCATCTGTCGCCCACTGTTCAGGCCAGACTCCGGGCCTGGGATCAGCCTTGTTGGTCTGGCTCTGGCCGGCAGCTCCAGCGCCCTGGCCCATCTCCCAGGCAGCACCCCACGGCTCGGTGCACCCCTCAGGCCTGCATGGCTTCTCCCCATGGGCCTTTGCTCAAGCTGTGGCTTCTACCGGGAACGCTCTGCACCCCGTCTGTGCCTGGCTAACTCCCACTCATCCTTTAAGACTCAAGGCAGGCATCTCCTCCCCTGGGAAGTCCTCCCTGACTTCAGGCTGGGCAAGTCCCTGGCTCTGGGCTACTAACCCCTTGCTTAAGGGGCAGAAACAAGTGACTTGCCCAAGATCACACAGCTGGTGAGTTGGAACCAGGGTTTGAACCCCGGGATGTCAGGCTCCAGAGCGGATTGTTCTGTAGGCCAGGTGAGGTGACAGCGCCCAGGACTTTGCAGAGGGGTGGGGGGCCTGAGAGGTTCTGGAAGTGGAACCCCAAGAAATGGCTGCTGGTGAGAGGTGGGTAGGAGGAGTGGAGGAGGTGCCGGGGATCACTGCGTGTCTGGCCAGAGGAGCCCTGGTGGTCAGGAAACTGAAGGCCAGCTTGGCCTGCACCAGGTCTGAGGGCCCGGTTCGAGACTGCCAAAGGGAGGGATGTATATGGGGGGCACCGTGCCAGGGCAGGCCTGGAATTGCAGGGAGAGCCCTGGGCTGGTGTAAAGTCCTAGGTTGGATGGGCCACCCTGGACTGAGGCCGGGCAGGGAGAGGGAGCTTCCACCCCCTCCTGAGGGGCCCAGCTGGCCAGGGCAGGCTGGTGAGCTGGAAAGGAGACCAAGAAGGCAAGGAACCCCGGGGTGCTGGTGGAGGGGCCAGGGAGGCCAGGCTGGCTGAGGCATGACAGCGAGGCCATGTGGAGGTCACCGGTGCTGTGCAGTGGACCCAGAGGTGGGGGTTCTTGCAGACTTGGGGGTCACTTGGCTGCTTCCCTGGCTTCCCTCGGGGCCCCTAGCCTGGGCTTGCCCCTGCCTGCTGCCCAGCTCTGGTCCCCGGCTTGGCCCCGCGGACTACCCATCGCGGCTGTCAGCAGGGTGCTGTTTCCGAAGAAGCCCTGGAGGTTGTTCACCCACCCGTCCCCGGCCCACCTTTTAGCAAAGAAGTAGAATGAATGCTGTTCGCGGCAATTGGGATAGTGTCCTGGGCCCCATAGGGTCGGACCCTGGCTTCTGTGGGCTGCAGCCCCACCCAGCCTGCCTGTCCTGCCCGACAGCGTGTCTCCTCTGCCCATCCCACCTGGAGCTCAGTGGTCCCTCTGCCTCATGGCGCCCTTGGCCCAGCACGCTCCCTGGAGCCTCCTCTCCCCCAGCATTCCCTCCCAACACCGGAGTATTCAGGCCCTGCTGGCTGGCTTGTGTCCCTCACCACCCAGCTCCGGGCTCTCTCTGGTGCCTGTGGGGGCTGCCACCATCCCCAGCCTGCACCCTCTACACCTCTGCTCCACCTGCTACCTCTGCCTCCTCTACCTGTCCTAAACACACCTCTGACCCGGCCTCCTGTGTCCAGCCTCTCCCCACTGGGGAGCAGCTCAGCCCGGCCCCCGCCGCCTCCCTTCCCCACCAACCCCTGGCCCCTCGTGCAGAGCCCCTGCAGGGCTTGTTGGAGGCTCACAGGAGATACTGTTGTTGACCCCTAGCACTGTGCCTGCCGCTCAGCAGGAGCGCCTGCACCCCAGCACACAGTAAGTGGACTACAGGATCAGTCACCGACTGACTCATTAAATGGATGCAGAAAATCAGGCACAGCTGCTAGGCCACGTGACGGGGTCCTCCATGGGCCTAGTTCCCCAGCTAGGGGAGGGGTGGGCCCTGGCTGGCAGGGGCCTGGTAAGTGGCAGGGAGAATGCTGGACCCCAGCTCTGGGACCCTCTCCTCATGGTTCCCTGGCCAGGGGGAAGGCTCAGGAAGTCTGAACTTGGCATGGGACTGGAGAGGAGGAGAGGATGGCTCCCCCAGAGGAGCAGCCTGGTGTGGGGGCCAAGGCCCAGGCCAGGGCAGCAATGAGGTGCAACCACCCACGCTACCCGTTTCACAGGTGAGGAACGCCAAGGCTCCAGCGTCAGCACGCAGAGCCAGGCAGCATGGTCCTTCCTTCTGTGGCCTGGAGCAAAGCGCCTTGCCCTGGTGCTCTAGCTTCTTCCTCTGTGAAACGGGGTGAAGGTGCTTCCCTGCTTGCTGTTCTCCTGGGGTTCTGATGAGAATGCCCGGGAGCACGGCGAGCTTTGTAAGCTGAGCGGCGCTAGCGCTAGCGTGCGGGTGTTGGAAACAGCTGACTGGTGCTCTATCGTGTATGCCTTCCGTCGCGATTGGTGCCCCCTGGGCCGGGTCCTGGGAATACCCCATGTCAGTGAGACAGGTGAGCCAGTTTCCAGGCTCCCTTGGGGCAGCTTCCCTGCTCCCTGTCCCCCCAGCCCTGGCCAGTCCCCTCCACATTTCTCCTTGTGGAATGGTCTGGAGGCCATGGGGTCACAGCCATGCATCCCGAGGCAGGGCTTACTGCCCAGACTAGACTCCGGCTGTCCCGTCCTTCCCAGGGCAGCTTCGGGACCGTAAGCTGGATTCTGGATGCAGGCAGCCTAGAGCGGGGTCTCAGCGCTCTGCTCCCTTGCTGTGGGACCTTGGGCAGGTCAGTCAGACCTCCGGGTTTGTGGGCTGTAGGTTGGGACGGAGGGGAGTGGCCCCTCCGAGTGTGCCGGCACAGGGAGGCACATGCAGCCCCCTCGCTCTTGTTCTGAGGCTTTTCTAGGGGCAGTCAGGGAGCTCTCCAGGCAGGACGAGCGTCCTGTGCTGACTGTAAGGAATGGTCAGGGAAAAGGGCATCTCGGTGCCTGTGTGACAGGAGCTGCCCTGGCTACCCCACAGCAGGCCTGGCCAGTCTTTTCTATGTGGGTGCTGAGCCATCTGCACGCGGGTATTCCCCAAGGGCTGGGCTTTGCGAAGCGAGTTCCCCAGAGGGACCGGCTTGGGCAAATGTGACTTCTGGTCTCGACTCTGCACCCCGCCTTGGGGTTTTGAGCAGGTCGCTTCCTGCCCCCTCTCTGAGCCCATTTCTCCCCTCACAAGATGGGATAATAATACCTCTTATGCCCACTTTTCAAGTAAAGATCACAAGAGAACATTCGTTTAAAAGTTCTTTCTTAGAATGTTGAGACAAGACTGTCTTTGTAGAGGGTTTTGTCCTGAAACCTTATGCCTACACTTCAAGTAAGGGCTTCTCACTTTGGGGGCTTTTCCTGTCTAAATAAATAATTTCATTTAAGCAATAATACCAGTTAGGTCATTGTTTTCTGGTCAAGGTGAGAGGCTCCTGATAGGGAGCCGAAGCCAGCCTCCGTCCAGTGGGGTCGCTGTAAGTCAGCTCTGGGCCTACTCTAGGGGTGCAGGAAGAAGACCCTCTGGAGGACTGGTTGGAAGGCCTGTAACCATATAGGCCTGCCATGGGAGGGCCACCAGATGGGCATGTGCTTTGTCACACCGCTATTAAGGTGCCCCGAACTGCCCAGCCTCAGGCCCCCTCGCCCTCTCCTTAAGCGCAGCCTCCGCGGCACACCCTTGCAGGTCAGATGTTGCAATGTCCACACCTGTTGCTTGAAGAAAACTTGCCAGAAGTCGCAGGGCCATAAGCATCTGGGTTTCTCTACATCGTTTTGTCGAATTGCCGTTGGTGACCCCAAGTTGCCCCTGTTTTCTGATGAGGATGTCTACTCAAGGGGGGCATTGAAGCAGAGAGCAGGGGTGGGCAGCTCTCTGCTTACCAAGTCACTTCAGAACCCCCCCCCCAGTTTGTCTCTGGATGGGGGCGGATGCTTGGGTCCAGGGTGGGCTCAGCCGGGCTCACCAGGGGTGCAGGTGATCTGCCAACACCTGGGTGATGGGGCTGGAGGGCTTCTGGGTGGTTGCTTGGGTCCAGGGTGGGCTCACAGCTTAGGCCCTCCCGCAGGGGTGCAGGTGGTCAGCCAGCACCTGGGTGACAGAGGCGTGGGCCAGAGCACTCTGGTCTAAGGGGCCTTGGTGCTCTGGGGCCCGCTGAGGGTCACACTGAATTTCAGCCTGGACGTGTGGCTCCCTGGGCCTGGTGGGAGGCCTGCTCTGCTGCAGGGCTGAGGGTCCCACGGGGGCAGGGATCCCAGACACAGGCCCGACTGTGGGCTTAGCTGACCTGACCGGAACTCTCCCCAGGCCGGCGGGGAGGGCTCTCTTCCCTGTGACAGTCGCTCTCTCCCCGCAGGATGGCCGAGCCTCGATTTAACAACCCATACTTCTGGCCCCCTCCTCCCACCATGCCCAGCCAGGTAAGACTACGGTGCCCTTCAGGCTGCTCGCCCCACATTGGAGCTGCTTCGCTTTGCCCTGGGTTTTGGCTGTGGCCTGCGGGGCGAGGGGCGAGGGGCCAGCCAGTGGAGCAGCGGCCCGGGAAGGGGCGGGGCGCGGCCCCGCC